GTATTCCTTAGCAACATCGCCGAAGTACCGCGGTTAGATAATCGCGACCAAAAAACGCCCATCAGACAGAACCATCGTCAAGCAGAAGATGTTCACCGAGAGAATCCCAGAAATTCACGTAAGCGCTATTACCAGGGAATTTCACGGCTAAAAGTCCGTCAGAGAAGATAGCGAGTGGAGGTGAAAGTCAACGCTCAAGTCTAGAGGAGATTTTGAGGAAAAAAAGCCGAAACCGAGGAAGGAAATTGAGCAACCTTCCAGATGATCTTCTACTAGATCATCTTGAGAACAGCTCATCTTGTGCGCAATATTCCCAGTTTTCTCGACACGAACAATGGCCCACCAACATCTGCGACCTCAATGCACTTGACGTTTCTGTGTCGAAATAGTATATTGCTCTACCTCCGCCAAGAACCATGCCAGTTACGAGAATTGGAGAGTGGAACTCCGATGCGGCTCTGTCTTCATTCTCCACTATGAAAACAGAAGAAATTGAAATCAGTGCGTCAATTCGGACAGTGCGGATGAGTTTCTATGCACTGGCGAATGACGCTTACCACCGCAGAGAGGAGCAGCTGAGTTGAGTAGAATTTTTCGAGCCTTCGAATATCAATAGCCCACGACACTTGCAAGTCTGCTCAGATACACTCGAAATCCCTGAGATGGGGTAGGCGTGGCTGCGTACATCAACTAAACGTAGTGGTGGCTGTGCTCTTGGTGAGATCTTTTCATTTTGAGAAAAATGGGGTCATATCTTCGTCCAACCAGAGTAAGATGACAGTTTCTATCAAGTTGGAATGTCCCAAGAGTAACCAATCCTACACCATGTCCAATATGCCACGCCTACTCCGTCTCAGGGATAAGGAGTGTATACAGATTGATTTGATTTGCAAAGAAGACCGTTGGAATACGTACAGCGCAGCGGTAACAGCACGAAGCTCGTTTTAACGTTCTGTTATTCTAACTGTAAGTCATCTAAAGTAAAGCCATATTCTACACTCGGGTTATGAAATATGGTGAAGATAGTGATTTGTGGCAATTCTGGGAATGAAAGGTAGCTAAGACATGACCTCATCACTGAGTATGATTTGTAGGGGGAGAAATTGATGACAGAGGTTCTCCTAAAGTACGGCGAAAGAACCGCCTCAACAAAAAATGATTCAAGTGACGAGGAATCCTACCATACTCTGTAATCAACAAATCAATAAACAATGAATCTCAGCGATAAATATCAGCACCAGGGCACAGCATTC